TTGGAAATATGTTTTCCGTTTAGTTGCTGGCAAAACATTGAAGTAACATTGTTGCTAAGAAGGACAAACGGGACGCAATTTTAATAAAAAAAAACATTGCCACCAGGTTTGATTAGAATAGGCTAAACCGTTATAGAGATCAAGTCCAAAATCAATTTACCAACCAGTTTCTAAAGAAGACACACTGTTGCTAGGTGAACCACCACAGATTTAATTTTGACGAATCATGTCTTAACAAGTGTTTCTGGCAAATTTAATCGTTAACATAATGTATAAGAAGCTGCAGTTGGTTTGCAATATAGTAACTATGGAAGCCACACTGTTTATAGAGGACACACTCAGAAGAAACATTTTATCGAGTATGTCCTTTGAAACATCTGACCGAGCTGATACTTGTGTGGAAATAACAACACCACATCCATAATGGTATAATGAATTCAGATTTAAAAATCGAGTAATGTGTAATATTTAAATGCTAATATTTTTTTTTTCTTTTGGGGGAAGACAGAGACAAAACAAAATAGTACGAATATCAGGAGCATATTGCGCGAAACCTGTGTCAAATGTGTGAATGCAAAAACTCAGAAATATCTTGATTAAATATTTAACAGCTAATAAGTTAACAAAAAATTAATTAGTGAAAACATCATCTTACCTACACTAACTTTATGAAAGAAATGTACTGTAGACCGACACGGCAGTTAAACAGACTGTGCAAAGGTTACAAGTACAATACACCCTTAATATGCTTAAAACCTATCAAAAAGACGGAATAACGTGGCCACTCATTCCGACAGTTTAGTAAATTAAAATATTTGGTTAGTTTCAAGTCTCTAACTTGAAAGTGGAGAAACTGCCACCTGAGTGTAACTACGATTGTCCTCGGGTTTACTTCCTTACTTCCCCTCGTGAGCAAAATTCTCTTAATTCCAAACAGGAATCAATGATTATTTCATATATATTTATATAATATTAACGAAATTCTGGCGCTGGAACCATCTTCTAACGATAATATAAAATGTGGCTTTCAGATGATTACTGACTAACATCCATCGAGACAATTGTTGGAACACTGACAATGAGTCCTTTTATACCCATTGAACCTGAAACCAAACGACCTGAAAAGAAACGAAATAATTTCATTTTGATCACACTCTTATTAACATATAACGTATCCAGAAAGTGTTCGGGGTGGGGTGGATGGGTGAGATATTTACGATTTTAATGTAGCCTTAACAATTTGAGCCATATCGCTACGATGTCTGCATTTTACCAGTTTACACTGATGCCTGCCGCTCTGGTGACCTAACTGGTTAAAGCGTCTACATCGGATGCGAGAGGTCGCGGGTGAAAATCCCTGCAGAGTCATACGAAAGACATACAAAAATGGTATATGCAGCTGCCTCGCTTAGCGCTCAGCATTAAGAGGTTAGTGTTAGGACTGGTCGGCCTGGTGTCAGGATAATGTGACTGGGTGGTGACATCATGCTTTATGTCTGTGGGAATGTCTCTTACATGACTGGCCTTGAACAGCTCTTTCTGAAACTGGTCTTTCGATGACTTCCCTTATCAACGTTTTGAATCTAGTCTCTTGCATGATTCCAATGAAGGGAATTATGAAACTGGTTTCTTACATGACTCCCTAGAACAGCGTTATGAAACTTGTCTCATGCATGATTTCTACTATCATAATTATGAAAATGAAACACTTATTTTCATCACTTACGTTCATGAACGGTTTGTATATCTTTAATATAGCAATCATTTTATGTGTTATTTATGAAAGCAGTTAATTAGTTTTATTTATCCAATTTTCATTACTCCCATAACTAGGATCTCCTAGTGTGATTGGATGTACTGGTCAAACATTCAGATGAACAGGATTATGTGAACATGAAAGGTTTGCATTTCTCAATATATGTACATATAAATAATTATCTGAATACGTTATTTGTTGTATATTACTTTCCACTGTTGACATTAATTAGATAATATTAATGATGATGATGTTAAGATTAAAGAGTTTCAATATTGCATTTAATCAAAGTACGTACTAGTATGCAGATGAGTTAGTAATAAAGATAAAACATTTTCCTGATCAATGAAGGTATTAGTCATTGAAGAAAAAATATTGTACATGTATAAATAGTTGTAATAGTGGTAATGCATGTGGTAGCAGTTGCTCACATGCAATATCTACTTTCTTCAAAACATAAAACCGTCAAGAATACGAATATAGACTTTACAATAACCAGCATCCTTATACAATTTACAGTGAAGCATCGTAGTTGATAATGCCCGAGAATCTCATTCACCCAGTAGCGATAACAAATCCAAATGAAATTCAAGTTATGAATTGCCCATATCATATTCAAGAAAATATATTATAAATTTCCTTTCTTTTGAACTCATTTTATCTTCCTTTTCAGACAAATATGAGGGGCTGCTTTTAGTGGATTCCGGTTACTCGTGTATATCTTTCCTCATGAAATGGGTGATCTTATTCCTGCTGAAATAGATGAGGCAGTTAATGAAACTGTAGAATATGTTTGGCATAGTGATGGTTAGGCATTGAGACAGACTATATGCAAAAATTCCGTTTATTAATTCACATGAAACACCAAAGTTACTTATATATTAGTCATTTTATAGCGTCTGTCTTAATACTCACATTTCATGACATCGATAGTCACTAGAAATGTATAGGTGAACACTTGTAATTAGAACAGATGAATCATGAATAAATTATAATGCTGGTATTAATTTAAAAAGTGTTAATCTTCACATTCTTAATTAAACAATAATCTCGCTATATCGGTTTAAATTTGTTAATTAATGAGAATAATTTGCTACTTGTTTGTATGATAATTACATTACGAAATAATAATTTAGAACTCTTATCTTCTATGGAACCGAATTGTTCCTATTTTTATAGACTGTTTTTTTTTGTCATAATAGACAAGGAATACATATTATATAGTTTAATATGTGCTAACTTGATTTGTTTATGTAATGTATACAATAGTAATTTAGATATCGGCAAAATTAAACCACTTAAAATAATGTATGTTGGTATGTCCCAGACTGATATATTTCAGTAATAAAACTTTTTTTTCTTTTTATTATTTGAAAAGATCTTACAATTATAGTAGATATTTGCACCTTAACGGCCTCGAACTTTTCATGCCTTTTCTGTCTTTTACACTTATACCCCACCACCACTACCATAACTTTTAATCTTTTCAAATTATAAATCGTCTCTTTTCAATACACTTTCCGACAACACATATTTATCTATTTTAGTGTAATTTGCACTTCGTTTTTCCTTACTTCAATATTTTCCATGTTTTATAACACACAATAATCAAAGTGCAGACGAAACCAATGCATAAGATATGATTATTTATGGAAATAAGCAAGCCCTTTCTTTGAAACTAGCACCTTTTACACTTTCATAACCTGAGATATCAGTAACCGACCGCTTATTCACTTACTAAATTGAATATTACGCCGACTTCAACTGAATTCAATTAATCTTGTTTAGATGGGTGTTCGTGCACACTTACAAAAGGAAAAACTCGTTTATTTTGAGTTGAGTTTCTCACTTAACATGTGGAGATTCATGAATTCGGACTCAGGGTTCTTGAATCTTATCAGCAAGGCCAACGTACCATGATCATGACTTAAAAATGCTGACCATATAAGTATAAAATTGCTTGATTCCTTTAACTATGGATGAAAGTTCCCTGAGTGAGACACAATAGTTAATTCTGTATTAGTCAGTGTACTGACCCAGTATTAATGAAACTCATGATCACACTCAAGCTCAAATCTGAAATTTCTCTCAAACACCTAACTGCGCTTTCTAATTGCGATTCACTAATCTAAGCTGAGGAAACAGCTCAGCTAAGCTTTGAGTACTTCACTCGTATAAAGATGAAAGAATTGAATATAAAACAGTTGCACATCATATAGGGATGAAAGAAGTTTATACATGGTAAAAAGAGGTTTACATGTGATCAAGTTTTCTACTTCCACCTCAAATATGTGAAAATGGGTAACGACTGACCATATATATATATATATATATATATATATATATATATATATATATATATATATATATATATATATATATATATATATATATATATATATATATATATATATATATATATATATATATATATATATATATATATATATTGTTGACTAATAACTGTTGGTTTGTGATATTCATAAACATCAAATGGAACACTCAGACTAAACGAGGATAATACATTCTATACCGTTTCAACTCTTTTATTGATGGGACTAAACAAAAATTTTAAAATCTATGACCCCGTCCATGGTCTATGTTCTTTATTTTAACCATATAGCATCGTCTATTGTACAAGTTCAGATTACAAAGCCTATATTTCACTGCACATCGGTAACCGGATATTCGAGGCATAAGAAGCGAAAATCTCTTATCGCTGTGGAAATATGTACTTTGTCTCATTCACATGTTTCCGCTCAACGGCAGACTTCGTTTCCTGCTTGGAGGGGTGTAACACTGTGATTTATAAATTGCAAACTATGCAGATTGATAAAAGATATTAAATCCTGTTTGAATTAATTATTTCGTGGTCCTACCTGCTTTTCTTGTTTAACTACGGTTTTTCTCCTCTCGCAGGACATCATCTACAAGGTCTTCTGCCACATCCACAAATACTGTGGTCATTTTCTACGGCTTCTTCTGGATCAGGTGGTATGTGATGTGATTATGATTATGATTTTTAACGCAGCTTTAACATTTTTTCAGTCACATCGCTACGATGTCTCCTGTGTGGCAGATTATAGTGCTGTCTAGCACTGGGGCATCATGGCGTAGACATGTAGCATGATTTCCCACTCAGTCACATTATCCTGACACTAGGCCGACCAGTCCTAATACTAACCTCTTAATGATGAGCGTCAAGCGAGGAAGCTGTTAGTACCATTTCTGTAAGTCTTTGGTATGACTCAACCGGGGATCGAACCCACAACCTCACGTACCCGAGGCGAATACTATAACCACTAGGCCACAGGAGCGGTTCGAATCAGGTGGTAACTAACTTGGCGCAGATACAACATGGCTTCTCTTAGTCTTACAGTTTTACTCACTGTAGCTCTAGAGGAGACAACGAGAGGTGAAAAGAGTGGTTATGATTCTGTATGTTTACGTGAAGGAAAACATGACACGATCGACAGAAAGAAATGGGAAAACGTGTTATTTCAATTTCAAACAAAAAGCAAGACCACGCCATTCTTTTCAAACTAAATATTTCAATAAGAAAAAGCTTTTCTAACTCAGAACATGAATACTAGATGACACATTCTAAACATATATGTTGTTGCTGTTGTAGCTGTAGGGTTTAACGCCAGTTTTCAGCACACGATAGGCTATCCATAGCAGCCAATATTAATGGTGGAGGAAAAACTCAGGAAAACCCGGAAAGAACCATTGACCTAGGAGAAGATACTGGTAAGCTTTCTCACATTCCTATATTGGCTGAATTCGAGACACGAACCAAGGCAGACGAGTGGGATGGCAATGACCGATAACGGAGAGCGCTTTAGACCACTGGGCCACCATGAATATATGTGATGATATTGTGGAGTTACTCTTGACTTCCAATTATCTTAGGTATTGCTACTATGCCATCGATGTACACTACGTTTCTGAGCTAAAGCAAAGAGATAACCATAATGTTCACAAAACGATCTTTCTTTTTTATCATAGTAGAGGGTGGAATCCACTTTGCTTCAAAAATAGTGTTAAATGTCGCACTCAGTCTGATCATACTTAACACGTCAAAGAAACCAACCGTGATGATTTCAACAACTTGTAAATTACATCTAAAAGTGTTTTACCGCAATTATATTCTTTAAAACGAGAGACATCGGCTAAATCTGTTTACAAAGATAAACTATGTAAGCTACTTTGGTTCAACTTCTGGAAATCATTCGTCGGATGGCTTTGTGTAACCATTGTTGCACATCTTTCAAACATACACACCTGAATTTGGTTTTAGCTGTACCATACAAGTTTTGAATTCCTCCATAACCAGCAGGAGCAGGATTATAGTAGATGCTGGCTGAAATGTCTTCATGATTGGATTCCCTGTTTTCGTTTTGTTATTCTTCCTCATTTAGGTACACGATGTCCGATGTTCCTGTTAGGTGGATGTTCGTGTGGTATTATTTGTGATTGCAACACGGATTGACGTGTCCAACAATGATTGTGACGCGGATTGGCGTGTCCTATAAATGGTAGGAGTAGGTGTGGAAATCGGTTATTAGATAATGTTTTCTTGATGTCTTGTTTACGTCTATCTTTACTTCATTCTTTTCTCTTCTGCTGAAATATATGTGGATTATATCTTTGTGACCCACGCTTTTAGTTCTTCTCGTTTGGGACTAGAGGAAAGTTTCAACGATGACGTTGCGATCGTATTAAGACGTAGTGTGAAACACTCTTCGTGTGTTCTTCTTCCATCTTTGTGTCAGTGTTTCTCTTCTTGGCTTTTTGTTCTCTAATCACGACAGTCTTGAAAACTCTCAAAGTAGGCGTAGCTGTTTCGTCAAATGATTTCTTGGGAAATAGTTGAAGTCATAATAATCATCCTTTATTTTTGGCAAATCAATGATATCCATCTACAATTGTAAGTTTTGTTTTAATTGTGACATCTGTGTGAGATTAGGATTTGGAGGTAAATGGGGCATGCGTGGTTTCATCCATAGTATGCAATCCAAAGGTGCAAGTGTGATATCTTTCCAGAGATGGTTGTTTCTTTTTCTTCGTCCATTTCATCACATGACTCTTCCCATGAAAGAATCAGCTTTCAATCCTAATAAAGGAACAATCACTTTTAAAAGAATCCCATCAGCAGAGTTCTTTTAATTGTTTCTTTTGACAGGTGGGTATTTCCTACTCCACCATTATTATGAAAAAAACAGTATTGGCATTTTCTTAATTGTTGCTTCTGTACCTTGGATAAAGGTTTTGCTCGTCTCAAAACGTTCAAACAACATTCACATATAGTACAAGTGATTTATTTTGGTGCTTTTTGACTGATTTATTCAGAGCTGTTGACTTGGTCAGTACTGAAAAAAAAACCATCCCAATATTTAGTTAAATTAGGAGGGAGTCCTGTAATTGTCCCCCTTTTGGAAGACTGTTCTGTCTTAGGACGATTAGCGTTGTGTACACTTCGAGGTGACACCTTTTGTTTCATGAACAAAAACAAAAAAAGTGAAACTTTTCTAGCATTTCATTTTTATGCTGGAATTAGTCTCGACTTATAATCGGCACGGCGTATGAATTTCACCATGGATAACAGAAGACCATAACGTGTTTTCAATGGACTAACTTTTGACAGTTCTTGTTTGGATTTATCCAGTAAACTTCAAATTTGTTCGGTGGGTTTTAAGAAGCCCCATATGTGATAACGTGGAACACAATCAAATGGTCAAAATAATATGAACGTGAATAAATCAATCGTACAAGCATACTGATGATAAATTAAGAAACAAAGCGGTTCAAAAAGGTTCCTATTTGACATTGTTTGCTCAGTAAAATAAAATAGCAAGTTCTGCAAAGTAAAGATCTTACAATAATGAACGGGAAGGTCATTTAGAACCCAAAGACTGTACGAATGACATCATAGCCACATAGGAGATTAACAATACAATGTACTGAAAGAGTTTTCTAACTTGAAATGAATGATTTTTTTATTGGGTTTTGTTTCGAAGACCCAGCATCACCTGGAAGAAACGTGAGCTGAGAAGAAGACGAAGGAAAGACTGAAATGAGCACGAGGATAAAATTATCTAAAGACATCTGTTGGGGAAAAAAGCTTTTGCGTGTTGAAACAAAAACAACCAACACCAAGAAAATCTAATACTTAGATACTAAATCGATAGCAATATCAGCATTGTATTTAAAAGAGTATTTTTCTGTGAAACTGTTCATAACATTAACGTGATACTCCATTTCTAGACGACAGCTTCCCAGATTTCACTAAACGAACATAAACTAAAACACGATCGTCTCCTGACACCAACAATGGATTCAAAATCGAAAGATACAGTAGAGAATTCTTTAAGAAAAAGAAAACTGATGTACCCATGTCAGACACGTGCGTCTTGTTCCCTTTATGAGCCAAATAATTGATGTAGCGTCGCCATTTGCTTAATAATCAGTAACATATCAAATATCATCAAATAAAATGGTAGGTGTGTTTATACAGGCACCATATTCTTGCATTCTCACAAATATATAATCATACACAAGGGTAGGAAGTGTTTATGAACCGACTATTTCACTCTCACACGTCCTATCATGTTGACTGATAATCACCTGCAGGCAACATTGTTTTGTACCGCCAAAAGGATATATTGTTCTCCCCTGCATTGTAAAAATAATGTAAATCCTAACATGAAATTAATTATATTTCTAGAGTCAGATCGATAAGAATTGGGTTTCTAAAGCCAGACTAAGGATTGAAATGAATTATATTTATAGAGTCAGACAAAAGATCGATTAGGGTTAGGTTTCTACGGCCCGACGTAGGATCGACATGAATTATATCTCTAGTCAGACATAAGATTGACAAGGATACAAGAGTGACAGAGCTTAATTCAGAAGAGCTTACCTGCTCGATTTGCTGCCAAAATACTGTCCTTGTTTAGTAAGAGAGCAAAGCATGTAATGCACGATTTTACACTGAATTTACAAATGAAACAAGAAGGAAAATTGAAACCAGAGCGAATAAGACTTCTAAGTATATCTATGTACGATGTGACTCTTTCATTCCTACGTTTGGTGCATGAATGCGCAGAACGAAAAACGAGTAAATTGGAAATTTTCGTTAAAATTTGCTGTCTTCATAATTAGAATTATCAGAAGAGTTTTTCCTGGCTCAGAGTACCATCTATTCATTCTGAGCCGTATGTACATTGAACATAGATGATCGCGTAAAATGTTGGAAATAGCAAGAGATTTCAAAAAGGAGACACAAAAAGTGACCATTATTTAAGACCCTTTGCTTCAGAAATATTTCTTAAAAAATACTTTTCTCAGAATAAAAAGACAGCAAGCATTTTGTCATGCTTTTTGGTTACAATGATCTTATTAGTAAAGACATGAACCTAAAAAGATTAGATTAATTCAGGTCTCCTATTGACAAGCCTCACCAATAGTTGTTGTTTACCATCGTTCGAGTGTATTCGTAGAAAACTACTACAGTCAGCACGACCTACGTACTTTCTGAGAAATTTACTCACAAAATCAAAATTCCAGTGACGCAGCTCCCATATTGTTATGTTACGGAATAGATAATGTAACAGAATGATGACGCGATGGATTGGAATTGGCGAAAACACTTGCATAGTTGTATGATGATATTGGGAAGATAAGGGACATTAACCTTAACCCATAGGTTTATACTGAGGCATCAGGGGAATTGAACTTAGTATGAGATGGCCTGGGACATAAAGTGAATAATAAGGTGAAAGGGGAATTTAACATAGAGTGAGCCTCACAAGGGCAAAAGGACCAAACAGAATTTATCTATTCGACAGATAGCCCTAGAAGGTTACGGTCAGATAAAGCAGTCTAGACTTAAGAGAAAATGTAACGTATTTTTTTATATCTACAACCAGAATAGCAATGGCACTATCCAACAACCACGTTTTGATTACTTTCCAAACACACACCCTACTCTCCAGCACCATATTTTTATTACAGTCCAAACACACTTACTGCTATGCAGCAAACCACAACCCTAATAATCAAATAAATGGTAGGAGCGTTTATACACGAACTCTTTCTGCATACGCACAAACATAGAATCATACACAATGGTAGGAAGTGTTTATGGAAAGACTCCTTTACTCTATCACACGTCCTATCACACAGAAGAGCTATGTGGTAAAGAAATTTTAAGTTTTATGGAAAAAGAAAGACACACAAATATACACAAAAATATAATCAAAAATCTTTTAGCAAATAGGATTAGAATTGCGTTTTTCTAGAAATCGCGGTGTCC